CCCAGGAGCATAAATGGGTACCTGGTGGAGCTATCTGCAAGGTAGTGCGCCAATATGGCAGCAACACTTAAAGCATGTGGACCCAATGACCAGAGAACACTGTACATAAATACCAACAAATAACAAAATAACAAATACTAAGTAGTAAGCTAGACCTACTTGGCTCTTGGCTAAAGTCATCTACAAACTTACCACATTGTAAAAGTGTAACAGGAGATATTTTATTTATTCCAATATGTAATCCACCATGATATTGAAATAATTAAAAATATATTTAGACTCTATTTTGAATAAATTGCTAGGTTAGTTACAGTATTAGCAGATTGTTGATAGGGCGAGACTCATTTATTCCTTGTTTGGTGTTCTTGTTTTTTTAAAGATCGTCAGAGGAGGGTGGAATAAAAATAAAGTTTTACCAAAAACATCCAGACAGAGGAGAAAAAAAATAAAATTTATTTGTGAATGTAAAATAGGATGGTTAAAAGCTTCAAATTTATATAATTACTGTAGGAAGAAATATACATCTTATCTTTGGAGATTTCAAGGCAGCGGAGGGCATAATAAAAAAAATTATTTTATTTTTATTCGAATCATCAATTTTAATATTCTAATATGCAATGAATTGTTTCCGCTCTCTATTTCCACTTTTGGACAATAAATTGAATTGAATTAAACTGAATTTGCAGTCGGCGGATTCGCTAAACAAGGTATAAAAAAAGTCTCGTCTAGCGACAAATGTTTTGATTCCCTTCTAGCTGTAACTGAGCTCCCCTTCTATTTGATGTAAAAAAAAAATCCCTTGTTCGTCACCACTATTATACAGCAAAATGAGGTCACTGTTCTTTTGCTTTGTATTCATAATCTATAATATTAATGTACATTCTTAATGATTATTACAATATTCATGAATAGTTATGTAGAAACCATGCATGGGACCATGTGCAATGCTTAATCTTGGTAAGTTAACACTATTAAATGAGGGTACTTGTTTTGATAGTAATTTTATTCCATCTTAATGTTTCACATTCATAATTAAAATATTCAGAGTTTATCTCCTGAAGGCCAATAACCATATTGTGCCTAATCCATTCATTTAATTATTGAAGTCTAATATTAGGCGTACAATTTTATTCCAAATTATAGTATTTTACATGGCTATGTTAGTGTTACAGTCCACAAGCTTACTGTAGCAATCTTGGTGGCATGCTACTAGAGGTTTAATTCAATTTTTGGTAGGGACCATTTCATCCGAGGTCATTATAGTGGCCAACTTGGAATTCAAAATGGCCTTAAAATTACATGTAATATTTTGTGTTTTATACTCAATTTTGTTACCAATTCACTTGAAAGGCATTTACCTGTAGCACAACTCATCATTGTGTATATTGTCTTGTCAACAGATTAATTAATGCACTGAAACCTAACACTGTAAAACCAAGTCTTTAAAATCATACAGTTTCTGAAGTATAAATAAAAGTACAGTACTATCCCACCAGGGCAGATTCAAACCTTTTTTGGCCAGGTGACAATCTTAGAATAAAAGCCGTACATACACTGCAATGATGGGCGTCAGTCAATGCAACTCCATGAAGAACGCAATGCGATGAGGCACGCAACAAAAGATCCAATCAGTCAGCTGATAGCTGTTTGACTGTTGTACATATTGATAAGGAGTAGGTAGGTTTACAATGAAAAATATTGAACCATATCTGTGCACACAGTGCATGCCCAGCTTAAGGTCCCAGTGAGTAGTGGGGTGTTCCCTTTCATATTGTTGGGTGCAGTGGGCTCTGGAGCTTTAACCATTTTAACCATATTAATATGTTCACTGCCAGAAACGAGTATACCTGTCCCACAAGGTGTTGCTAAGGGCACTAGGGATGACTACTGTACAGTATACCCGTCGAAATCAGGGTAACATTCTAGTGTTTATTACTTCATTGTTGAACATTGTATAACCACAGACCTAGACAATAACATACAAATAACGGATGTTTGTTGTGTTATGTAGCCAGCAGTACACTTGATTGCACAAGTGGGGCGCCCCCTGAACAGTACCAACTCATGCAAAAAGCGGTGGAGAAAACTCGCACCTGGCCGAGGCAATAAGAAGTACTGTCCCAGTGCCGCCGACAAGTTTACTTTGCCCCTAATATTTTCCAGCCAATTTATTAGACACATAATTTTGATGATATATTACTAGGATAGAATTTAAAAAAAGTATGTTTGTACATGTATACTTGTTCTGGCACACGGGAAGAAACCTAAAAAAAGGTTTGGCAGTCAACCTGTTAATCACTTATCCAAACAATTTCACACTACGTTGAAGATTAAATTGCTGCAACAGAAAGAAATGAACGCCTCTTTCGCCACAACTATGTCTGCCAATGCCTACAATTTAAATCTGAAAGAAAACTATCAAATCATGAAGAGTAATCTTCATGCTCAAAAAAAATAATTTTAGAATTAATGAATATCATGTAGAGGAATTGAAAAGCCAGAATATTGGACAAAAGCAATCAGCTAGGCGTTAATTAGTTTAACAGTTGATCAATACTTTACCAGTCTGGAATTACCATTTCAATCCACTTTTAAACACAATAAAACTCAAAAGTCAAAGTCAGAATAAAACTTTATTACAGTACACATTCAACAAATAAAATAAATAAACAAATAAAAGGGCAATGCAGCCTCACAATAACAACTTTCAGTAACAATATGAAATATGGTACATTTCAAGAACACCAACAAAACCATATTCATGCTTCACACCGAGACAATACCATAGAGCTACAGTATTAAACAACTGGAGTGATACTAGGCCACAGAGCAATGCAGAATTGTGTATGTGTACCATCCAAGATGGCCACCATAGGAAAGGGCCACCTTCAGGCTTACTACACATATTACCATGACTAACTATTATTCCAGTAATCATTATTATATTAATACATTATTAAACTATTGTAGTCATTAAGAGGCCAAGCAGAGTATCTAATTCAAAAATGAAGTACAGAGGAATAAAAATTGAAATCGTGTACGCTCAAGTTTCAATATACTGTATTCAAAACTTTAAATTTATGTTAGGGTGACACTGCTTAGCGTATTATGACTGGCTGAACCTACACACACACACAGCTCTGCGTATTTCGAATATGGAATACATTAGAGTTAGCGGTCTAGGTAGTACTCATATTATAACTCTATGAACAATACCTACCAAACCGTCTTTACAACTGAGTGCCTCCGTAGCAAGTCACAGTTATTTATCTTTTTTAAATAACTGTGACTTGCTGTTATTTATCCTTTTAAAAAAAATCTGATTAAAAACCTATGTTTCAATTTGCCAATAGTAAAATGTTTATAGTGTTGCAAAGTTAAGCTAAAAAGTTGCATCAGTTGAAAAGGCTATGTAAACTATAATAGGTCACATGCACTCAGCTGTATCAACTGCTTAGGTGGCGTTGCTAAGAAGGTGTTTCTCATTGTGTTGTGACATATTCCATACTGACACAAATATTTAATATTTTCAGGGTTATTTTGTAATGATGTTTATAATTTATTTTTTGCCCCTCCTTCTTTACCCTGAATGGGCCCTGCAACATCTTCTTCTGTAGCCCACTGTGGCTAGTAGAGCTTTCTTTAGCTGCAATCGCACTGGACAAACTAACCAAGGTGCTGCTTAGTTTACCATAATTAGTCCCATGTAATGCGAAACTTACCTCTCAGAAAAACAGAGACAAGCAGTTAATTTTAAACCAGTGTATCGTGCCCAGCAAAATGGTAAAACTAAGTTAGTTTTACTAAGCCGAAAAGTCCAATGCGACCATGTATCTCAGTTAAACTTCCAGAGTCATTTAAGTGTTACTCAATCGCGATGTCATGAATTAGCACACTCAATAAGTTAATTTCACAGCTTAGTTTACCATTTCTTTCATCTAAATCATATTTGCATGGCAACAATACAGGATTATCCCATGACACCATGGGTTGCAGACGAAAATTTAATTAAAAACTTTAGCAAAACTAACCAATGCACAAAATCCAAGTGCGGACAGCGGTAGATTTACCCATTGGAATATTACCCATGGTATCTGTAAAATCACTTTTTTTTAGTCCAGTGCGCTTCTTCTAGCTTTTGTTGCTATTCAAATCCTTGGATGCCAGTCAATTCGAGCGGAAGTCAATTCGAGCGGATGTCAGTTCGAGCGGATGCCAGTTCGAGTGGATGCCAGTTCGAGCGGATGCCAGTTTGAGCGGATGCATTTAGTGCGAACTATAACAAGGGCGAATTTATCGTCGCCGTATTCTTGTATTTGTTTGTTTTAAATGCAAAAAATGCTCTGATTACTAAGGTTCTGAAAGGTTTTTAGTACTTTTTGATAATTACTCCATGTTTGAATTACAGTCTTGGCAATTCACTCTGACTACCAAGATGGCCGCTAACAAGTTAAAACTATAATAGAATTGCGCACTTTTCAGCTTAAAAAAGAAGAAAGTTTATGTTTTACTAGATTGCACGAGAAGCACACACACAAGACGAGTGACAATTATTTTTTTCACGGTAAACAAAGTGGGGTGGCTAGCTTGTTGATTGAAAATAAAAAATCAGCTTCAATTAATCATCAACTAGGCTAAACAACAGATTTAGGACTAGGCTGGGCCTATCCAACAATGAGAACTGCACGTAACGACATAGCCTACTGTGTTGTTGTGCCATACATATGCCTAATACAGTACCGCAAAACTACTATAGTCTATAATTATTATAGGTTTATAATAGGCCTGACTCAGCCTTGGCCTACGTCTATCCTACCTGCGCGGGTCACTACCCAGCCACAGGCATGGAAAACAGGCGCTCTTCATATTATTTAGGCCTTAGGCCTAGCAGTAGGTATACCCGGTCCCCAGTCTAACTAAGCTAGGCCTTCCATCAAATTTTCAACCCACCCTGCACCGTGAATTCCTAAACAACAGTGCGGTAAAAAGTTACAACTTACCATTCACCGCAACCACGCCAACAGTGGCGGTCAGCATTTATTTATGAATGAAAATATCTGATGCTTATCCACTGAATATATTCTATCTCCATGCAAATCAAAATCAGAAATAGGATTCTCGGAACTTCTCATCAGACTTGAATGGCCTCTCTCCGACGCTATAACAAACTTCCGCAATTTATTTCAATACAGATCGATTTATAACGTTATATCTGATTGGGTAGTATACGTAAATTGAGAGAACTTCCGGTAAATATATCCTCTCATATTCGTTCTTCGATTGATGATATCTACATTTCTCGGAACCTGGGGAGTATTTTTGCCCCGCCTATTTCATATCCAAATACGGATGCTGCAATACCATAGATGGACCGCAACATTTTTAACACATCATTTCCGCTTGACGGTAGGTCAACGGTTATAAATTTGTTTTCAGAGGCTGGCTCAGCTAGGTAGTATTTGGAATGAGTTCATTAGACGGCAAACGTCATTTTCATGGAAAGTCAGGAATTCAGTGTTAGAGAAAGATTTCAAAGAAAAGAGCACGAAGGGCTTCTCCCGTCAATTCTATCAGAAACAAAGGTTTCGTTTTCAAGCTCATACACGACTTTCTATTTATAGGCCTACTAAAGAATGCCTGGGAGCTTCAGTTTACGGCATTTTATTTTTCTTTTAATTTATCTAGCTTATTTGGCAACACAAGCCTAGCCTAGTAAAATAAAGCAACAGCAAACATACAATGATTTGAAAAAAAAAAAACTTGGCTGAGAAAATTTGTTTTTATTGAGAAAAAAACTGACAGAAAATGTATTTTACAAAAGTCAAACAAGAAACTATGGTCTATGTTATCTTTTCTAAAGTTAGATTGCGGTCAATAGAATTGATAAATCATCATAAACTCACTGTTATAAACGTAGGCCTACACAGGGTAATAGAAGAAAATATATTTTAATTGAAACTGGAGAAGTTTTTTAAAGTCAAACAATATGCAAAACAAGAAACTTTAGGTCAATGTCAGTTTTATAAAGTTAGGTTGGGTCAATCAAATTTTGTATCGGATTTTTTTTTTTTATTAAATTGATAATTCGGTACAATTTCAGTAATTGCACTGTTGCTAAGAAATGGAGTTCAATAGCTTAGTGGTTAAGATGGTTGCCTTCCCTGGTTTCAATTCCTGTTACTGTAGGACTTTTTCTCAGATTAAAAACTACTATAATCGCTGATGAAAAAAAGAAAGAAAGAAGCATCACATTTATTTGAAAGAGCCCCTAAATATCAAACAACCTTCTATAGGATACGCTGGAAGGGTCACCCTTTATAAACATGTTTAGAAAACAAAACAAAAAAAGGAAAAAAAATTCTTTCACTTTCTTTTGCTTTTAAGTCAAGGCTTTGTATTTACAATAAGCCTGCTGGTGATAGTTTAAATGCGAACAGGAGTTACTATATTTAGTATTTCACTTCATTGTTGTTCAAGTTTCAGGGTTCTCACAGCCAAACAATCAACGTTTACAAAAATAACAAACAAAAACCACCTGCCAGAAGTATGGCACTGTACATTGTGTCAAAAGTAAGTCAAAGTTGCTGCATATACTGGTTTGTATATATAAATAAGAAGATTCAGACAAAATAAAATAGCTTTCTCAAAATAAAATGTTTATTGTACTAGTATTTTTCGACCATATCCTCGTCAGATACTGATAGAAAATATGAAACGAAATTATATAGAGAACATAAAACAAGCGGTCTAATGGCGGTACAAACGAAATGACAAAAAGCAATAAGACTTGCCTAAAGAGCGTGTAATGGCACGTGATTCTATCCTATTGTAAGAGAAAACCTTGAATTGAAACCCCGCCTTTTTTTTCTTTTTTTTTTTCGGCGAAATTTGGATAGGCTTCTTTCGGAGTTCATGCTTCTTTTCGAGGCTACATTTGCTTTTCGAAAATGAATGCTGGGAATTTTTTAAATTACCCCTATAAAACAATTAATACCAGTAGGCTTACGTCCACTGTAACATTAATTTGTATCATGGAGTGTATTAACCGGCATTTAATCACCTAAATTACTGTATAAACCAAGCTCGTTTTTTCTTTTTTTTTTTTTTTTTTAATTTGTGGAGGCCTACAGTTTATATACTGAACTATCTCGAAAAAAAAAAGCCCAAGCTATCTTGAGGTGCGTTTCTTTTCGAGGCTACTTTTGCAAGCTAAAGAGAGGGGCTTCAATTCCAAATGGGCTTCTCGAGATTAAGCCCTGGGCTTCTATTCGCAGTTTATGACGGATATCATAATATCCCGATTTAAATATCCAAAATATCATAAAAAATCTATTAATTAATCTCTAAAAGTAAATGATTTAAGTTTTTAAAGTATAACATGTTGAAAATAATACGCTCTTTGAACTCAGATGAATTACATTGTTTGATCGGTAATAATATCATAAATATTATTAAAATCGTCGCTCACATCACTAACACAATCAAAGTAGATTGTGTTAGTTCGTGAAATCAGAGTAGCGCGTCAAAACGAGAGCGTATTGGTTGTCAAGCAATTTTGTAATCTACCACACAAAAAGTCGTTAACAACAACAGTGCATTGACGCGCAATCTTGATTTCACGAACAATAGGCCCATTATTGAATTTTGCAATTGAATTTAATTTTTCATGTTCTTGTTATGCTTATGTCTTTGATGACAAAAAATGAAATGAAAGAAATAAAGGTGGGTGAAATCCCCACAAAAGAGAGAGAAAAAAAAACAAACAATAGGCCTACTATATAAAGAGAACTTGTTATTTATATTATTATAAATAAAAAAACATTCAAATATTGTTTCGGGCTTCTATAAGATGCACTTAACCAATAAAAGAGGCAGCCTTGGTATTCCGATCCCCTCATCACCATTCTTTTCTTAATCAATATCTTCATCTTATCAACATCATAATCGTTATCATCATCATTGTCGTGAAAATCAACGTCATCATTCATAAGTTAATTATACCAAAGCTAAAGGCCTGATTATACTTCAACGATAACGATAACGATAAAAAAGCTAAAAAGCGATTGTTCATATAGAAACAAAATAAATAAGAGAGGTTTTTACACTAGGACGATTCGATAATGATATATCGTGTATACCGCAAATGGGCAAAGTGCGGCCCCGCCAGCGATTTTTTCGGCCCGATCATATGCCTATGTAAAAGTAAAATAATACTGAGAATAAATTGGTGTAAAAGCAGTCCTTGGAGAGGTTTTTGGAAGTACACTGGAAACAACAAAGTTTGGGTGCGGCCCTCGGTGTTGAATCAAAAATTCACTTTGGCCCGACCGATTTTTATGCCCACCCCTGGTGTATACAATAACAAAATATTTTAACAAATCAAATCAGATGACATCATAATCATGGAAAAACGATAAAATCGTTGCTACTACTACGATTTTAATGTTTTTTCATGATTATGACTGGTTTAATTTGTCAAAATATGTTGTTATCGCATAACTGATAAATCGTTATCGAATCGTTCTAGTGTAGAAACTTCTCTTATTTCTTTTATTTTCTATATGAACAATTGCTTTTTAGCTTTTTTTATCGTTATCCTTATCGTTGAAGTATAAACAGGCCTTAAAGCTTGGATTTACTTGAAACACGAATAATAAGCCTATAAACTTTCCAAGATATAATTTCTTCATTCAGAACAAAATAAAATCTTAACCTAAATATTGTTTTCACCTTACTGATTTCTTCTTAATATATTCATTTATTTATTCTATTTTATTTTTCTCTAGGTTTTCCCGAGAGTGTACGCCAACACTGGGGCGCAACTTCGTAGGTCTGGGGTTGGATTGATCGAATTCTCTCAGCCCGGGGACAACAGCTAATGGGAGAATAAAATGGATTATTGTCCGTACACATTTGTACTCAATTTATCATGTACTTTATTCAGATATATTACAACAAAAGGTAAAGAAGAAATAATGAATGATCGACTTATATTTATTTTATCAGGTCTTATTTTGATAGTTTGGTACGATTTTTGATACGATGGATGGCCCATAAGATGCTACTGCACACTCAAAATAAATTTTTATTGAATTTGCAGATACTTGAATTACAACTGTAGCTTTTTCACTTCCCAGTCAATTTTTTTGTTTTTTTTTTTTCATTTTTAAGGTGGAGGGGAGCTTATTGAGTTTACCAGCAATAAACACCCACCCACC